GGTCCAGTTTGAACCAAAATGGATACTCCCACCCAGGTGTTATCAACGGTGGCCTTTTTTAAGAGGGGTGGCCTCAACCTCCAGTATCTGGGAGTTGAAGTCCACTCATCTTAAAGTGGCCAAGTTTGGACAACACTGCTCTAGCCAATTTGCTTCTGTAGGCTTCTTCAATCTGGGGAGAGCTTCTTAGGAGCTGATGATCCTGTTTTCTTCCTTTCTGTTGTCTTTTACAGGTAGAGAGTTCTTTGTGGGTATTTCCAAATGGACGAATCACAGAGGAGCAGAGATGGTAGCTGATGCTTTTAGGGTGAGTTGAATTTCTTAGAATGGGTCACACACGTACCCCAAACATTCATTTACACATGTGTGTGCTGGATACTGTTCTTGGTTTTTCTTCTTCCATATATCTATATTGAATTGGGCCACTTTTTAAAAGAACAGCATCATGCAGAAACGATAACAATGAGTAAAACATTATTTTTCCCGATTGTCTGGGAATTGTTTCACTTTAGCACATCCACCCAAGAGCTCCTATCAAGATGCCCATGGCAGAGGAGTCTGAGACATGTTTTAGGCTGTCGTTCTAACCCTCCTGCTATTGCAGAGTGCAGTGCTCTTCAACCCAACAAAGCTAATTGAGAATAATAGGGATGCTAGTCCAAAATGTGTGGCAGGTAGGCAGCAAACATCTCGCAGGGACTGCAAAACTCAGTGTTTGCTGTTAGCTTTTAACACTTTGGGATGGAGTACTTGAGGAATATATTCCAGTGCATACAGCTAGATAGTGATGAGGTCCAGCCCCATCTGTGGTTCCATCCCCCAAAGATTGGGGGGGGGGGCTCCCAATTCACCCTCTAGATCTTTATTCCCATCAGAGGTGTGTTATATGCTTCATGTGTGAAGGGTTTCTAGTCTGAAAGAGGTGCCTTAGCTCCAGAGTTTCCAAGAAGTGCTCTAACCTTACCCAAAGTGATCCAAACTTGAAGTGGCTCCTTCTGGACTCAGAACATTTTTGCACATCTCTAATTCTTATTTCAGAAGTCTACCTGAACCCACCAGGAGATTCCCGTCATTCCCAGACAACTTGGTGGGGGGAATGATGGGCACTGAAACCCAATAGTCCCAGTGGGCCCCGAATTGGGAAGAGTGATTTAGATATACTGTTCAAGTAAGGTTATTGGCAAAGTCATGTACTAGACAGGAGGTAGGGAAGAGAAGAGAAGTTCTTAGGTACAGCTCAAGGGCGTCTGCAGAAGTTCAAGCAATGTTGTCTTCCTGCAGGATTTTGCTGTGTCTACCGTTCCTGTCTCAGGCACGTTGCATCTCCGCAGCTTCTGCAGCATGGCCGGACCTGACACAGTTGTCATTGGCAGCAGTGAAGTGGCGAAGAAAGCCATGAAGGTAATCCCTAGAATCACCAGGGTCTCTTCCTGAAAGAGCCTTCAGGTTTTTGGGTTGATCATCTCCTAAGAAAGAATCCTTCATCCATTCATCCTGTTCCCAAAATACCCTTGCCAAATAGTCTTGCATTAATGCTGGTAACTGTAGAGGACAAGAAATTTCTTGCAGACAAGACGTCCTGTCCAGAAGAGAAACAAAGCAGGCTGGCAGAGGGAGGAATTGGCACTGTTTCATGCCCAGCAAAGAAATGCAGTAAGCTTCCACAAAAGGTTCTGTCCAACCTCTGGCAGGCGAGGAAAATAATGTTTTTTTTGAAGGCTATTAACTTTTATGGGTGTATTTTCAAGGTCATGGACATATTTTCAAACACAGAACAGACTAGCTACTTTGCCTTGTTTCTGGGACACTGGAATGTTGGCTAAATAGAGAGGAAGTGTGGGTTGCAACCCACCCAGACCAGGATGACTTTCCTAGAGTAGCTGTTCTAGTTTTTCAAGCAGGGCCTGTCGGTGATAAGCATCTCCAACCCCTATTATGCAGCGAGATGCTCCCTTCGGACATGAACATTTCATTTATTTTCGCTAGTTAGTATTCGCAGACCTGTTCCCCATGGATCTCTTCCTACTGGGGGCTGCTTGGAGCTTTGTTGGTTTAGAACAATGAGAAACAGGTCCAAGATTTTATAAATAATGGTTTTAAAATGTCTTGCTGGGATACATTCTGCAAGATAGTCCTGGAGATTTGGCTTGTTCTTGCAGTCCTGAATCTACCGCTGATCCAGTTTTTTCGCATATCTGGTCCAGCAAGGCCATTTTTTTCAGTTGGCTTCAGAATTCAAGTTGTGTAATAAAAAGGAAAGCCAAAAACGAGCCAGTTCAAGAAAAGGTGGAATGAGGACTGGAAGGGGGACAAAATGAAAATTATGTTTTTGACACAGTCTTGACTACAGCTGCAGATAAGTTCAGCTCCTCTACCTTCCCTCCCCCCCCTTTTTCTGAAGACCATGGAGCAATTAACTGATCACCACTATGAAACACTGACAGTACCTGATGATCCAGCTGCTAATTGCATCTATGCTCGTCTCGGCCAGAAGAGCAGCATTCTTTTGCATCGCAGTGCAGAAGAGTATCCAAACAGTGTGCAAGTAAGACGAAGGGGAGACTTGGGTCTAAGTGGGAGGGTGGGCCATGTTTAGTTGGGAAGGATTGGGGCGTGTGGCTTTTTGGAACCCACATGGGTTCTTCCTGAAGCATTTGATTGATTGATTGATTATGTGTCATCAAGTTATGTTGAATCTTCATGACCACAGAGATGGACCTTCTCCAGAATTATTTGGCCTTTCAGGTCTTCCAAAGGGGCACCCATCACCACTGCTGGTCATCCTCTTTCCTTCACTTTTCTCAGCATTATCAGCTTCTTCAGGAAAGCTGTACTTTCTGAAGCACTATTTGAGATGATATGGGTCAGATCAAAGGGATCAGGTAGACTTTTAGTACATCCTTTGCAAGCATTCCTGTTTTTTTTTTCCAGCATGCACTAAACACTTAAGCAGTGTAGAATTCTGCACACAACATCTCTGTTGTTACGTCTATATAGAGAGGTGTCGGTTTATACTTGAGTGATAGGGAAGGAAAAGTAGGAAAAAGGAGCAGACGGTATCTCCAAACAGAGAAGAATTGATTGGCTCAGCATTTTCCACTTGTCCACCTGCTTCTCACATTTGGCTAACCTTTTGAAACAATTCCACCATTTCTAAATGAAACCCTTTGAAATGCTTTAGAAGACTCAGTTAACCTGTAACACTTTGTCGGAGTTACCTCTTAGGACATAAAAGAGGTATGAGAGGATGCAAAAGGCAGTTCTGCTTGGGAAGATAACAGAAACCATGTCTTGCTCTATCTGAGAAGGAGCAGGGGCTATTGCGTGATAGTCCTCATGTGCAAGAGGATGTCCAGTTTGGCTTGCTGTGCATGCTTGCGTGGAACCAGAGGTGGCTCCATTATGATTTATGGGTCTTACATACCAGTCCCAACATGTTTAAGGCTGTGCCTCATCATGTTGTGCTACTGCTATGGAGGAACAGCAGTGTTCTGGTGACCTCCACGTGGGGATAAATAACATCTAAATAGTCATTTAGGCAGAGCACAAGTTTGAATATCAGAAAGGTCCTGTTTTGGGTTCTTGTAGATCCACAAATACCAGTGTATCCCCAGACACCTCTTTGGGAACCCATCAAGTTGCCCCCTCTATGTTATACTTTCACTTTTTTAAAAAATTAAACTTTTTTATTAATATGCCATCTTCCTATTTAATTAAAATTAAATAGGAAGCTGGCATATTGCAAAGCGAGATACCCTGGAGGCATTGCTACGGTCCCTGCTGTCAAGCCCCAGGCAGTCTGGCAAGATCAAAGAAGCAAGAACTGCAGATTTCCATAAGATCTCTTTAATCTTGGTCAGGACAAGATACAAAATCTTAGAAAGTGTAAATCTGACAAATGCAGTTTATTGAAGGGCACAAGTTTCCATGAACTGCAAGTCACTTCATCTGACTTGCTGTGTTTGTTGAGATCTTCTAAGATAACCTGAGACTTTTCGATGTAGGTGAGGTCAGCAGTCTCGCTCAATTGTGATGTTTAAGTCTCATTTTACAATGGGTTTTTAACCCATCATAAATGTTAATTGGTCAAGTACTTGGAATCTGCCTCATGTAACCCACATCTGCATAACTAACTTGTCTTCAATAGAAGAGAATACAGTAGCTCAGGGTTGAAATGTGAAGTTCTTTGTGCTCTCTGAGCATGGTTGCTTGCTTGTAGACATTTCATTTTCCAACTAGGTAACACCATCAACATGTCTTCCCCTTCTGTCTCCCCCCACCACATCCCAGTTTAAATTCTGCATCACTTCAGACATTTCATGCATCTGATGAAGTGACCGGCAGCTGGTGAAAACTTTTAGTAAAATTTGTTAGTCAGAAAAAGCACTACCAGACTCCTTCTGACTTTTAGCAACCATAGACTAACACAGTTCTCCTCCTACAACATTTAGAAATTCTAAGAGGAATTTCCCAGCTTCATTTATAGTAAACTAATGAAGGTGGAGTTTCTTTGAATGATTGAAATGCTTCTTCCCGGATTTTTTGACCATATGAAGTAAGTTGCCATTTATGAGATAAATTACCAGCGACCTGCCTTCCATCTTTGGGTTGTTTATATCTACTCTACCTTCCATTTTTTTCCCAGCTTCCCTACAATCTCTCACACCTGCAAAGATCCTACTGGGATGGAAAAGAGCATCCCATAAGCTAATTTACCTTCTGATAATTGAACATTTTGTGACTAATGGGCCTGTGGTGTTGGCCATTTTCTGAGTGGGCAAATGTCTGAAAGCAGTTATGTTGTGAGTGCACCCCTACTGTCAGCTCTCAAAATGTCAGGTGTGGCTCCAGCTCATAAAATATGAACTATCCCTGCTATGGGGGGCAGAGTTAGGAGGGGTTGTATTTGTAAAGAGAAATAATATGTTTCTGTGGAATCCTTGGTGCTCTCTGAGCTTGGTTGTTTGCTTGCAGACATTTCATTACTAGACTAGGTAACATCATCGGTGCTAGTGAGCAGCACTCACTAGCACTGATGAGCACTGATGATGTTATCTAGTTGGATAATGAAACGTCTGCAAGCAAACAACCAAGCTCAGAGAGCACCAAGGATTCCACAGTTCAACCCTGAGCTGCAGATGTTCTCTTCTATTGTAATATGTTTCTGTTTGCTTCTTCTCTTAGCCTTTTCAAAAGCTTCCAGACTATACCCTGATCCCTGCGGCATGCACGGAGGTAGCCAAACTTGGTGGGACTCTCAGTTCCTGCTCTCTTCTCATCAACAAGAAGCTGGAGATCTAGTGCCTATGGATCCACCCAAAAATACAGGTTCCTCAATCCCTGGAGCCCTTTCCTTGTTTCCTTTGTGCAGAGCAATGTAGCTCTTTTTCTCCACTTCCTGATGAAGCAGAGTGCCACCCTGATTCCCATACCTGCAGATTAGGTCCAATTTAAATTTGGCATCTGTTTCTCTCTTTATTTACATTGGACCTTCACTTCCACCAAGTCCTACCTCTCTTTACTTCCTCTCTTTACCTTTTCTTGTGTTACCCTTTAGAAAGACTTTTACTCCAGCATAGATAGGTGTTCATCTCTTGCTCCCAAAACTGAAGAAAAGCCACACCAGGAACGGGCCTTTCAGCTGTTCCATCAGCAACTCCTGTTTTCGTAAGGTTCTCAATTTTTCAACCCACTTGGGATACTTAAGGAACAATGTTGCTTTTTTTCCCCTTTTTTCTTTGTCAGTGGCAGGATTTTGTGGGACAAGATTTTGCAATAGAGACCGAGAAATATTTGTTGGCAGCCTTTTTGGAAGACCTTTAGGAGCATTCATTGTGAAGTCTGCATCCACAGTGGTGGCCAAAATAGGTCCTTTGCCTTTCTCTCTTTCTATATCACTATATTAGCTTTGGAGAGCAGAGGTATTCTTGTAGCAGAGGCCTGCTTGTGACTGCTATTGCAAATCATCTTAGACTGGTTTGGCAGACAGGCCATCTTCCATTATAGAGAACTGGATAATTCTATTACCATTGGTATTAGGGATTGGGAGGCATCCCTGATTGTAATGGTGGAAACCTAACACTTCATATTTCATGGCAGAAGTACAAAGGTTTCAGTGGTGGTGAAGGTTCATGTGACCTTCAGTGCCCCTGAAACAAGGTTCTCAGAGAACTTTATAAATGCTATCTTTTATGTCTGCTTAGTATACTGTATACCATGGTGCTGTACTTTGGGTTCTGAGAGCGTAGAGTTACTTTCTACTATTTTCCTGGCTCACAACGGTTTCCTTATTGCCACCTCTCTGCATACAGGTAGTCCCCGGGTTAAGAACGCCCAGTTTAAGGATGACGCCTAGTTAAGAACAAAGCCTATTGTAGCAAAATTTGAGTTAAATGCAGAATTATTCGAGTTTAATACATAGTGGTTCGAGTTCATTATACAATACTACTGATACAGTATTATCCAATAATACCGATCTGGCTTACAAACAAATTCAACTTAAGGACAGACCCTGGGAACGGAACTCATTCTGAAACTGGGGGCTACCTGTTTTCACAAAACTAAAGTCACCACCAAGGAGGATCACTGCTTTCCCTCTAGCAGCACCATGTTATGTATTTGTGTAATGTAGTTAAGGGGAATTTGTAGCCATGTTCTTGAGGACAATTCTGCTGATGACCAGTTGTAGGACTCTGGGTGATTCACTCACTGCCTCTTTTAACCCCCTGTGGAATCAGTTAAAAAAGAGTAATAAATAAAAGACTGCAACAACTCCATTTCTTGATGGGTCTCTCTTTTTTGGTTTCATTCCTGGATTTTGGCTCCCACTACCACCCTCAGAGCTGAAGAGCTTCCATTTTAATGGCATTCTCTTTTTATATTTCATTAAGGATTGCTATATTTCCATCCAGTCAGTGATGGTGCCCCCTAACAATCCAAAGTGTGAAATAAAAGGTGATGTGTATTTGGGATTCGGATTTATCTTCTTTAGCTGTGTAAGCAGTAATGGAGTAGAGACGACAAGGGGTGGTTCTTCAAAGCCACGGAAAGGTCATTTCCAACATGTGTCTGTGGCCTCTAGTCGGTGTGAAGCTTTCACATGAAGTGGAACGTGGTGCATCCAGATGTGCTTGTGCCTTGCTAGATGCGCGATATTTCTTTGTTCTTGCAGTCCCAGGTAAGCAAGAAAAGCAAAATAAAATCAGGAGTTACAGTACCTTGATTCCTTAGCAGGCCACAATACATCGCTGGTGGTTCCTGCTTGGCTTTGTGAGCCCCACCCTGTGTCTATTTTTTTCAAACTATCCAACTCAACCAGAGTGACTCTGGGCAGCAGACAACAAAAATTAAACATACAACCAAGAAAAAATAATCAACTACAGTTCCTTAAAATAAAACCCAAATGTGCAAAATGGCAAACTGAATGGACTAGATTTAAACAACCAATTGGGGACTCCATTCACCTAGTCCCAAAGGCGTGGGGAAACCGCCAGGTCTTAAGCACCTTTCTGAAGGCCAGTGGGGTCAGGACCTATCATATGTCTGGGGGGAGATCATTTCAGAGAGCAGGGTCAGCCACTGAAAAGGCATGCTTCCTAGGTCCCATCAGATGGCAAGACTTAAATGAGATGACCTGTAGCTGGAGCATCTGGGGCTGGGAAATGTTCTCGGGAGCAGGTAGACCTGCAAATAGCCCAAGTCCTATGCCATGTAGGGCTTTCAAGGTGACAACCAGCATCTTGAATTGCATCTGGAAGCCTGTTAGGATCCAGTACAACTCATGGAGTAGCAGTGTCACATGGACGTAGCAAGTTGCACCTATGACTATTCATCCTGCTGGACTCTGGATCCACTGAAACTACTGGATGGTCTTCAAGAGCAGCCCCGTGTAGCGTATGTTGCAATATTTTTTATTTTTTATTTATTTAAGCAATTTATATAGCTGCCTAACTCACTCACAGTGACTCTGGGTGGCTTACAGAAATAAAAACCCCAAATACGAAACCCACTGCACCCCCCACCCCCCAATAACCTAATTGTTATAATTCCCTCATCTCCATTTTGAACACTTGTGAGGGCCTTCCTCAAAATACCAGCTGGAAAATGGCTTTGGGAGCCATTTGCTGTTTGAAAAAGTATATCACAGAGAATTTTCAGAGTTGCAAATGTATGAAAAGAGCCAGTGATCAGAATTTAGAGGGTGTATGCGTGAACTAGGCATAATAAAGAAGTACTATATCTCCTTGAAAGGAAGTAAAATGGAAATGGAAACAGAAATGTGGGGGATTTCTTCTTGTAAGGTTTCTTTTCAGTGGAGGGTTATTTTAGGATTCAGGATCATCTTTCTTTCAGGTAAATATGGTATCAAATATTTATTGCCAAACTTGGCTTTTCATGTGCTTCTGACTTTTTTCTCTAGCCAGAGGTTGGGAGCGGGGAGGAAGAACAAAGCTCTCACCTTGTTTACTTTAGAATTTTTTTTAAAGTGGGTAAAGAAACCATAAGTTCCATCTCCAGGATCTCTGGAGGGCAGTCAGTGACCCAATACTATAAGAATGGGAAGCCAATTTGTGTTTTTCCTTGGAACATCTCTGTTGCTACAGAATTTTACAGCCACCTTCTTCTAGAAAAGGAAAGAGATCTCATTACGCCAACTGCCAGTTCATGTCCAAGTCTCATAAAGCAAACTTTAAAGCACTACAGCTTGTGTCTGGGTCTTTGAGATGTCCCTTACCGGTCCCTTTGTCATGGATTTGTCTCACAACAGCGTGGGTTGAGCTGTCTCTGAAGTCATCCTAGGTCTTCAGAATGTGGTTTCCATTGAAGAGAAGGATCTGACCTTGTTGGGTTTAAAAAGTGTTAAGCAAGCTTTTAGTTGTTTACAGTTGCTTCAAGACTCTGCTGGTTGGCAGATTAAGAAGACAGTAAAAATAAGATAATAAATAATATAATAATAATAATAACACGACACATGCATAATAAGAAATATGACAAATATATTTAATGGTCAACAAAATACCAGTGGGTGAACCTCTTCTGGCAAGGATGTGAGGAGAGAATGGTTTTACCTCTTAAAACACTAGAAACAGGACTTCAGCACAAAACCTAGGTTTATATCTCCTTTTCACTCTTGACAGAATGTTTTAGATTCTGCATACCAACCCCATTGTGGTATGCAGATCTTTGAATAAATTAATGGATTCAAACTTATATTAGAAGCATGGACTTTAGGGGGTCCTTCAACCTCTGGGCTACTGTGGAGGTGATGGGAAAGGGGCTGAGTAAGTCCCACAGAGTTTCCTGAATTGTAGCCATATTGAGTAGAGGTTGGAGAAAATGGAGCAACGTAGTCTTTCTTTTGGCAGCTATTCTGGAGCTTTCCATCATGTCAGAGCAACTATTGTTGGTAGTTTGATCTCCACATCTGAGATGAAGTCTGCCCATTAGTCTAAGCCTTTGTGTCAATCACAGCTTGAATGGCTAACATATCATTACAGATGTAGCCAGTCCTGGGGTCATGGAGTGAGTTCAAAGGGTAGAACTCGGGGAGGCCACTGGCCACGTTGGTTTCATTGATGGGACGCTGGAATGAAGACGAGGATTCCAAGGAACGGAAAGAGGTGGAAATGTGACGATTGTTGACTTGATCCAACAAAGTGAAGGTCACCTGAATTTTAAAAAAAGAGACAAATTATAGGCACTGAGACTCATTCACATGCACTAAGTGAGAAAGCTTTGGTCTGGGGCCATGTATCTGCCTGTCTGTATGCTGAATATGCTGTCAGCGGCTTTCAGAACCATGAATTGTGTCCTTTGGGGCTAGCTTAGAGGGTTGGGAACGTGGGGCATGATTTTATGGTGGTTTTCCCCCTTCCTCTGAAGCCGGTTCTAATCGATGTTGGTCCAGGGGGGAGGTCCAGCTCTAGATCCCTGTTTAACATCTACATGAAACTACTGGTTGCAGTCATCCATTGGCATGGGGTTAAGCATAATCAGTATGCTGATGACAGTTGCATGCAGTTTTGGGCACACTATGATATGCCCACTGCTTTGTGAGCTGCACGGTTCCCAACACCCACTGGGTTCAATTCAAGGTGCTGGTTGTTACCTATAAAGCCCTATGTGGCAAAGAGTCAGGTTATTGGCAGGACAGCCTGTCTTCAACTATTTCTGCTTGTCCCATCAGATCCAGCAGGGTATACATGCTATGGGTCCCTTCTGTGAAACAGTTCATTTAGCAGGGCCCAGGAGAAGTGCCTTTTCAACCACAGCACCTGCCCATCCCAAGATTAAGGTGTCCCTAACTTGGTTAGCCTTCCATGGGGCCTTGAAGACCCTTAGGCATTGGGCCAGGATGTTAGCTGAGCCCAGTGTGTAAGGTTGGTTACTTTTGTTTTAGGTGGCTTATTAGGATCCTCAGTTGCATTGTACCGTTTATGTTTGTTTAATTATTATATATTTTGTTGGTTATAGATATTTAGGTTATTGTTTTTGTAGGGTGCTATTTTATGTTTTTATGGATTGGTAGCCACCCAGCATCACACTGTTGAGATGGGTAGCCATATAAATTAATCAAACCAATTAATCCGTCAATAAGCAAGCAAGCCACACTGTGAATAGTCAGAGATTATACAAATTGCAGCCCAGATGCTCTGGAAGGTGCTAAACTGTGGAAGACTGTATGAAGATACCAGCCATTTGTTTTAAGTGAGTGTTTCACTGAATGTATCTTCATGATATAAAAACAGATGCAAGTGCGGTCTTCTTTGTAGGAGTTGGGGGAAGGACCTTCCTACCCCATATCGTCCTACCGTCAGTTCAGAAGCTCCATACCTTATGTCGGAAAGGCCATTTCAGTTGGAAATCGTATTCCCCTTTCATCAGAACCAGGAAGAGCGAAAGGTGAGTTCCAGCTCCAGTTCCATCTCCGTTCAGGAAAAGCTTCAGGCAGAGCTTGTAACCATAACGGGCAGTATAAAATGCTTGGGGGGCATGAAGGAGAAAAACATGAGATGCTAAGAGCAACAATAACAATAACACATACTCGTTTCTAAAACTAAATAAACTATATTGGAGGATAGACCAGACAAACATTTTGGCTGAAGGAAATTGGAATCTTCAGAGTAATATGGTGGGTGCCTTCCCAAAGGGGCTGCTGTGGGAGATTTGCCTGCTCATAAAATGGCTGCTGGGATGGGCATAGCTGAAGTGAAGGCCCCTAGGGTGCTCTCTACTATTCCAGTGGATACTTTGTAGGGTCCAAAGGCATCACTGCAAATAAATATGATAGTAGGAGCTAGCGTTTTTGCTTTCCATCATCTATCTTCCTTCCTTCCTTCCTTCCTTCCTTCCTTCCTTCCTTCCTTCCTTCCTTCCTTCCTTCCTTCCTTCCTTC